ATCGGCCCCGTCGCCCTGCGTCGCCCCTGTCCCGGACCTGTCGCGGCCCTGCCCCGACCCTGTCGCGGCCCTATCGCGGCCCTGCCCCTGCCATTCCCCGACCCTGCCCAGGCCCCGCCCTCCTCATGCCTGTCGTGGCGCACCAGGGACCCGTGCACCGCCCCCCCCCCCCTTTTCCCGTCGCCTTGCGTGGCGAGCGGGGGGGGGGGGCCGCGCGCGGGGGGGCGCGCGTCGCCCCTTCTTCCGCCTGCTCTGGCGCCCTGGGAGGCCGCGCGTCGGCCCCCGTACTCCTCCCCCCCCCCCCCCCCCCCCCCCTCAGGTCGCCTCAACTGGCGACGGGAGGGGCGACCTGGGGGGGGGCGTGCGTCGGAGCAGCCGCCCCTGGTGCAGCCGCCTCTGGCCCCTGGAGCAGCCGCCCCTGGCCCCTGGAGAAGCCGCCCCTGGCCCCTGGAGCAGCCGCCCCTGGACGCCGCCCCTGGACCCGGTGCCGCCGCCTCCCTGTGCTGCCCATTGCCGCCCGTTGCTGCCCGTTGCTGCTCTCCCCCCCCCCCCCCCCCTTCTTCGTCTCCCTGCTGCGCGTGCAGCCATGGAATGGAGGGTATGGGGGTGGCGGGTATGGGGGTGATGGGTGGTATGTTTCCCTTCCCCTCCTCCTCCTTTGTCTCCCACTGCTGCAGCTGCCGCTGAGGGGGGTGGATGTGTGGGAGCCAAAGGCGTGGTGCTAGGGGGTGGGGTGTGAGTGAACCTAGGGGTGCAGCAGCGGGTGTGTGAAATGGGGGTGGGATAGTTTGGGGAGGTTGAAGGGGGGTGGCCGCCGTGAAGCCCGCAGCTCCAGTCGCCCGTGAGACCGTTGTGCCAGTCGCTCGTGAGCCCGTTGCGCCAGTCGCCCGTGAGCACGTTGCTCCAGTCGCCCGTGAGTCCGTTGCTCCTGCCGCTCAGAGTTAGCCGCGGAGCCAGTTACTCCAGTAGCCCGTGTGCCAGTTGCTCCAGTTGCCAGTGTGCCAGTTGCTCCAGTTGCCCGTGTGCCAGTTGCTCCAGTTGCGCCGTGTGCCAGCAGCTTCAGCTGCCGCCCACTACCTCCTCTCCTCTCATAGTCCCTCCTCCTCCACACTTGCCCTCTGCGATAGCCTCTAGCTTTGCTTACATTTGTGAACTTTAAACTGTTGCTTCTTGTACTTGTGCTCAGAATGTGTGGTGACATTGTGATCCACCCTGGGCTTGCTTTGCTTTGCTTGTTGTGCTGATCATACCCCACTTTGACTATGGGGGTGTGTCAGAATGTTATGTTTGTCTAGCCTGCAGTGGGGTACTCAATAGTGAGTACAGCCCAATTTAGGGTTTGCTATATGTACTCAACTACTTGCTAGTGCAACCATCACTTCTCTCATTCATTCCTCATTTCTTCACAATAGCATGATAAAGTAAAGGCAAGCAAGCATAGCTGGCATAAGCCGTCGTACTTTCACAGACCGGCAGAAACCCCAACACACGCATGCTGCGGGTCTTCGGATGCATGGTACAGTACCGCCCCCACACTGCCCGGACTGGAAATTTTGAAGATCGTGCCCGTTGGGACATCCACCTTGGAATCGAATCCGAATACCACGCCTGGACAATTCTGGACTTTGCTACCCACCAAGTCACGCGTTCACGTGACTACATCTTCTACAAAAGACTGACCTTGGCACTGTACCGACAGCACCACATTACACAGAACGCACCAGACAACATTTTCCACAGGGAGCACACCTACGCCAACGATCAGGACGAGGCTGACGTGGCAGGAGAACAGCTTGAGGAAACAACTGAAGGGGAGGCACCTCTCATACCGATTACGAAGGACTTCGGCACAGCGACTTTCTTCCCAACACGAAGCAGTACCGGCACAACACAATTACGCAAGTGCAGAAATGCACTCACCCATGGAGGAAGATCCAGCTAGCAACTCTTCTCGCGACACTGTTTGCGACATTCCTGGCGATGACGACGACGTGGTCGAAGTTACCAATGCAGCTGAATCCAACCTCACCGGACTTCGCATCCTCGGCCTCACCGTTGCCATCCGTGGTAACCAGCAATTGGTTGAGCCCACCACCTTTCGCCAGGCTCTGACCGGACCCGATGCTGAGAAGTGGAGAACAGCCATGGCTGCAGAAGCCACTTCACTCCAAAGGCGCGGCATCTGGAAGCTGGTGCCACGACGACACGCAAAGGGGAGCTAGATTCTCACGGGGAAATGGGTGTTCCGCATCAAATCACTCGCGGACAGATAATTGAGAAATACAAAGCACACTGGGTAGTGCGCGGCTTCGAGAAGATACACAACATTGACTACGACCAAACATTTCCACCAGTGGGGACACACGTCTGTGCACATCCTAATCTGCATCGCCGCCATGAAGCAGCGCCCGTTACGCAAGATCGATGTGTCCAACGCGTTCCTCTAAGCTGTCGTCGACGCTATAATCTACGTCGAGCTGCCTCATGCCTTCGAGGAAGGCAGCGACGCTGTGTGCCTCCTCCAAAAATCTTTGTACGGCATCAAACATGCACCACGGTTGTGGTGGCTGTATCTCCACTCCGTCCTCATCGATCTCGGTTTTCAGCAGCTGCCACACGACCAGGGGATGTATCGGCTCCAATCCCGCGGGAGCTTCATTCTACTCGTCGCCTACGTAGACGACCTCCTTTACACCGGCGACAACACGGAGCTCCTTGACCGCTTCGAACGCGAAATTAAGGAGAAGCTGGAGGTAACCGTCGATCACTACGTCACCCAATTCCTCGGTCTCAACGTCACCCAGACAACCGACACCATCCACCTATCCGCCGCGAAGTACGCCGAAACACTTGCTAAGAAGTTCGGCATCGCTCCCATCGGCATCACCACTCTCTTCTACACTCCTCCTCCCAACCACGAGCCCGACACCACCCCTCTCTCCGCTGCCGACCATCGTCTCTACCAACAGCAGATTGGGCGTCTACTCTTCGAAGCCGTCACATGCCGCCCAGACCTATCATACATCGCCAGCTAGCTTGCCCTGTACATGAGCCGACCTGAAGGGGAGAATATGGCAGACCTACGACACACCCTACGGTATTTCGTCTCTACACCTGACGTCGGACCCACCTACAAAGCGGACTTAACGGCTAATCTACGGCTTACCGGCTATGTGGACGCTGATCATGCTGGGAATATAGACAACGGGAGATCCCACACTGACTCCATCTTCAAACTTGAACCCACATGAACCATCTTCTGGAACTCGCGGAAGTAGGAGCTCGTCCCTCTTTCGTCAGCAGAAGCAGAATTCATCGCAGCAAGTGCAGCAGTTCGCGAAGGGCTCTACCTCACGGAGCGCTTACGGGAAACGAAAACGGCGATGGACGGGTCATTCAAGTTATTGTGTGACAATCAGAGCGCGATCAAAATCGCGAACAAACCTGGCTTCGTCAACCGTACGAAACACATCGCTCTGCGTTACTTCTTCGTCAAGGACGAAATTGACAAAGGGAAGGTTCAACTAATCTATTGTCCAACTGGCGAAATGGAAGCAGATTTTCTGACGAAGAAGCTGCCACGTCATAAGTTCCAGTACTGCGCGGACCTGTGCGGAATCGTCCGAAAGAGCCACGTGGCGCACCTCCAGGAATGAAGCACCCATCACTATCGAATAAGCACTAGTAGCAGTATCGGATCAGCCAGTACAAGAGCAAGAAGGTCAAAAGTCGCAAAGGTCAACTGTCGCGATTGTTGACCATCTGAACCGAATGACTCACCAGCGAGGAATGGCAAGCAACAGGCGTAACTGTCCAAATCTCTCTAAGGCAGACCTATCCTATTCAAGATCCTTCACTCTAACAACTTCCTCATTCGGAGCAGACGGCTTCTCGGAAATCCCGTCCACCCCTCTTAAACTTGTTTTGGTTCGCCACAGAGCACTCCCCAGCAAATCTCACCACATACGCCAATCGGCCGTCGGCTAGATTAGCCTTATTCTTTGTATTCTGTGGTTGATAAAAATGTTTTCTTATTCCTATTCTTTTGTTTTCAAATCCAATCAACTACACTACAACTAGTTGAGATGTGCGAAATCAAGTTCAGACACGTCCCCTCTTCACGAATCCCACAATCGACACTGTACCGCACTCAAATCCTGCTTATTGCATTTACAACTTTCATAACCCTTTTACAGCCCGCCAGAAAACCAACCTGCGCTGGTTCGCATCCCAAGTTTGGTGTCAGGGGGGGCCGCATCCTCTCGAAATCAATAACCTTTTCCGCTCTGCGCAAGGGCGCAACTCCCTCACAGCTCATTCGAAACTCACTGGCGATTGTTAGATGGAGGGAAGTTGTAGCTGTTCACGAATCGCACATGCGCTCAGTGATCAAGGAGCACTGGTCGGCTATTCGCGAATCGCCGTGGTTATCTTAGCCGCGACCGTTGTAGCGCGTCACCATTAGCGGGGACGGCGGAATCGCGCACCTGCGCCGCATCATCGAGCGCATCGTAGAGCGGCGGGGGACCGGCGGCAGTGGCGGCGGAACGATGATGCGGAAGGTGGTGCGGCGCGCGGAGTGGGAGGCGCGCATGGACGCGGCGGCGGTGCGCGCGGAGGACATGAACAAACTTGTAATGAATTACCTCGTAACGGAGGGCTACGTGGACGCGGCGCGCAAGTTCGAGCTTGAGTCCGGGACCGACCGTGAGTTGCGGGATGCTGATGCCGCGACCATGCGTGGCTATGTTCACAGCTCAACCAGCGCAGCCCACCCAGCTCAGCCCAACTGTGCCCCTCGGCAGTACACCTTTCCGAATTTCGCAGAGTACATATCACACCCTTTTACCTCCCGTTTCTCTCCTCGCCCACTTTCCCCCCTTTTTCTCTTTCTCCCGGTCGGCCCTGGCGGTGCAATTCATGGGGACGCATCAACGGGTGAGATCGTGCTCGCGTCAACCTTCCTTTCCTCCATCCGCCCTTCCTCTATTTCGTGGCAGCGGGCGCGGATCTGGGGGCGGTGGCGGAGCGCATGGCGGTGAAGCAGGCGGTGCAGCGGGGGGACGTGGAGGACGCCATTGACCGGGTCAACGACCTCAACCCCGAGGTGAGGCAGGCAGGGGCGTTGACCGGGTCAACGGCCTCAATCCCGAGGTGAGCAGCTGGCGTGCATGTGTATCCACGTCCAGGCGCTGACTGGTGGCTGGCTGGCTGACTGCAATCACCATCAGCTGCTTCTCTCGCCTACCCACCTTGCGTGCCCTGGCCTGGCCTGCCAAGCTTACTGCCATGGACTGCTGGTGCTTTCTGTCGTTCATTCACGGCGTCTGCTCCGTGAATCTGTTCCTATTCCAACGTTCCACTGTCGCTGGAGTCTCCTGCCCTCCAGCCCATGCATAACATTCTGGGGTTGCACTTCACGATTCCTCTCTTCCGTTCAGCCATTCCCCCCTGCCCTCTTATTCCACCCCCGCCCATATCCAGGAGACAGGGGCAGGGGAGTTCTTCAGCCTGCAGCAGCAGCGCCTCATCGACCTCATCCACTGCAATACCCGGCACTGCCGCTCACCCCTTTTATCTCCTCGACACGACACGAGTGCAGGGATTTTCTCTCCTGTCCAACTATTCCTCTCTGCCCTCCTTCCCCCCTCAGATACGGGCGCAAGGGTATTTTTCCGAGCAGCAGCGCCTCATCGAGCTCATCCCCCCCCACTGTCCCCTTCTCCTCCCACCCAACTCCCTCTCCCCCTCCACCTCCTCCTCCTCCCCACCCCCCTCAGATCCTGGACACGGGAGCGGGGGTGTTCTTCCGTCTGCAGCAGCAGCGCCTCATCGAGCTCATCCGCGCCGGCCGGGTGGGCGAGGCGCTTGACTTCGCCCAGGAGGAGCTGGCTCCCCGCGGCGAGGAGAACGTGAGTGCGGGTGGGAGGGGGGAAGGGGGGGTTGTGGGGGGGAAGGCGGGGAGGGAGTGTAAAGACGGAGGGAGGTGTTGCCGGGTGGACGAGGCGCTTGACTTCGCCCAGGAGGAACTGGCTCCCCGCGGCGAGGAGAACGTGCGTTGGCTGGCGGGAAATGGGTGTGGGGGGGATGGAGAGGTGGGTGTTTTGGGGTTGGTGGGAAGGGCGGGGAAGGAGTGCAAGAGGCAACAGGAGCGGATGAGACGCTAGCTTTCGCTCAGGAGGAGCTGAGTCCCTGGGCCGCGGAGAATGTGGGTGGAGGGTTGGAGGGTTGGGGGGTTGGGGGGGAAGGGCAGGCAAGCGCAAGGGTGGAGCGAAAGCAGCAGTGGAGGGGGATGGTGCTTTGGGGGGGCGCTTGGTGGAGGCGCTCGATTTTTGTCAGGAGCGCAGGCTGAGGAGACAGGGAGTGCGGATGCGTCGGGGGAAGAGGAGCATGAGTGGGGAGGCGTTTGGGGGAAATGTGGGTTTCTTGTGGGGCTGGGATGTGCCATGCACCGAGGCTGGGAGGCTGGGATGTGCCATGCACCGAGGCTGGGAGGCTGGGATGTGCCATGCACCGAGGCTGGGAGGCTGGGATGTGCCATGCACCGAGGCTGGGAGGCTGGGATGTGCCATGCACCGAGGCTGGGAGGCTGGGATGTGCCATGCACCGAGGCTGGGAGGCTGGGATGTGCCATGCACCGAGGCTGGGAGGCTGGGATGTGCCATGCACCGAGGCTGGGAGGCTGGGATGTGCCATGCACCGAGGCTGGGAGGCTGGGATGTGCCATGCACCGAGGCTGGGAGGCTGGGATGTGCCATGCACCGAGGCTGGGAGGCTGGGATGTGCCATGCACCGAGGCTGGGAGGCTGGGATGTGCCATGCACCGAGGCTGGGAGGCTGGGATGTGCCATGCACCGAGGCTGGGAGGCTGGGATGTGCCATGCACCGAGGCTGGGAGGCTGGGATGTGCCATGCACCGAGGCTGGGAGGCTGGGATGTGCCATGCACCGAGGCTGGGAGGCTGGGATGTGCCATGCACCGAGGCTGGGAGGCTGGGATGTGCCATGCACCGAGGCTGGGAGGCTGGGATGTGCCATGCACCGAGGCTGGGAGGCTGGGATGTGCCATGCACCGAGGCTGGGAGGCTGGGATGTGCCATGCACCGAGGCTGGGAGGCTGGGATGTGCCATGCACCGAGGCTGGGAGGCTGGGATGTGCCATGCACCGAGGCTGGGAGGCTGGGATGTGCCATGCACCGAGGCTGGGAGGCTGGGATGTGCCATGCACCGAGGCTGGGAGGCTGGGATGTGCCATGCACCGAGGCTGGGAGGCTGGGATGTGCCATGCACCGAGGCTGGGAGGCTGGGATGTGCCATGCACCGAGGCTGGGAGGCTGGGATGTGCCATGCACCGAGGCTGGGAGGCTGGGATGTGCCATGCACCGAGGCTGGGAGGCTGGGATGTGCCATGCACCGAGGCTGGGAGGCTGGGATGTGCCATGCACCGAGGCTGGGAGGCTGGGATGTGCCATGCACCGAGGCTGGGAGGCTGGGATGTGCCATGCACCGAGGCTGGGAGGCTGGGATGTGCCATGCACCGAGGCTGGGAGGCTGGGATGTGCCATGCACCGAGGCTGGGAGGCTGGGATGTGCCATGCACCGAGGCTGGGAGGCTGGGATGTGCCATGCACCGAGGCTGGGAGGCTGGGATGTGCCATGCACCGAGGCTGGGAGGCTGGGATGTGCCATGCACCGAGGCTGGGAGGCTGGGATGTGCCATGCACCGAGGCTGGGAGGCTGGGATGTGCCATGCACCGAGGCTGGGAGGCTGGGATGTGCCATGCACCGAGGCTGGGAGGCTGGGATGTGCCATGCACCGAGGCTGGGAGGCTGGGATGTGCCATGCACCGAGGCTGGGAGGCTGGGATGTGCCATGCACCGAGGCTGGGAGGCTGGGATGTGCCATGCACCGAGGCTGGGAGGCTGGGATGTGCCATGCACCGAGGCTGGGAGGCTGGGATGTGCCATGCACCGAGGCTGGGAGGCTGGGATGTGCCATGCACCGAGGCTGGGAGGCTGGGATGTGCCATGCACCGAGGCTGGGAGGCTGGGATGTGCCATGCACCGAGGCTGGGAGGCTGGGATGTGCCATGCACCGAGGCTGGGAGGCTGGGATGTGCCATGCACCGAGGCTGGGAGGCTGGGATGTGCCATGCACCGAGGCTGGGAGGCTGGGATGTGCCATGCACCGAGGCTGGGAGGCTGGGATGTGCCATGCACCGAGGCTGGGAGGCTGGGATGTGCCATGCACCGAGGCTGGGAGGCTGGGATGTGCCATGCACCGAGGCTGGGAGGCTGGGATGTGCCATGCACCGAGGCTGGGAGGCTGGGATGTGCCATGCACCGAGGCTGGGAGGCTGGGATGTGCCATGCACCGAGGCTGGGAGGCTGGGATGTGCCATGCACCGAGGCTGGGAGGCTGGGATGTGCCATGCACCGAGGCTGGGAGGCTGGGATGTGCCATGCACCGAGGCTGGGAGGCTGGGATGTGCCATGCACCGAGGCTGGGAGGCTGGGATGTGCCATGCACCGAGGCTGGGAGGCTGGGATGTGCCATGCACCGAGGCTGGGAGGCTGGGATGTGCCATGCACCGAGGCTGGGAGGCTGGGATGTGCCATGCACCGAGGCTGGGAGGCTGGGATGTGCCATGCACCGAGGCTGGGAGGCTGGGATGTGCCATGCACCGAGGCTGGGAGGCTGGGATGTGCCATGCACCGAGGCTGGGAGGCTGGGATGTGCCATGCACCGAGGCTGGGAGGCTGGGATGTGCCATGCACCGAGGCTGGGAGGCTGGGATGTGCCATGCACCGAGGCTGGGAGGCTGGGATGTGCCATGCACCGAGGCTGGGAGGCTGGGATGTGCCATGCACCGAGGCTGGGAGGCTGGGATGTGCCATGCACCGAGGCTGGGAGGCTGGGATGTGCCATGCACCGAGGCTGGGAGGCTGGGATGTGCCATGCACCGAGGCTGGGAGGCTGGGATGTGCCATGCACCGAGGCTGGGAGGCTGGGATGTGCCATGCACCGAGGCTGGGAGGCTGGGATGTGCCATGCACCGAGGCTGGGAGGCTGGGATGTGCCATGCACCGAGGCTGGGAGGCTGGGATGTGCCATGCACCGAGGCTGGGAGGCTGGGATGTGCCATGCACCGAGGCTGGGAGGCTGGGATGTGCCATGCACCGAGGCTGGGAGGCTGGGATGTGCCATGCACCGAGGCTGGGAGGCTGGGATGTGCCATGCACCGAGGCTGGGAGGCTGGGATGTGCCATGCACCGAGGCTGGGAGGCTGGGATGTGCCATGCACCGAGGCTGGGAGGCTGGGATGTGCCATGCACCGAGGCTGGGAGGCTGGGATGTGCCATGCACCGAGGCTGGGAGGCTGGGATGTGCCATGCACCGAGGCTGGGAGGCTGGGATGTGCCATGCACCGAGGCTGGGAGGCTGGGATGTGCCATGCACCGAGGCTGGGAGGCTGGGATGTGCCATGCACCGAGGCTGGGAGGCTGGGATGTGCCATGCACCGAGGCTGGGAGGCTGGGATGTGCCATGCACCGAGGCTGGGAGGCTGGGATGTGCCATGCACCGAGGCTGGGAGGCTGGGATGTGCCATGCACCGAGGCTGGGAGGCTGGGATGTGCCATGCACCGAGGCTGGGAGGCTGGGATGTGCCATGCACCGAGGCTGGGAGGCTGGGATGTGCCATGCACCGAGGCTGGGAGGCTGGGATGTGCCATGCACCGAGGCTGGGAGGCTGGGATGTGCCATGCACCGAGGCTGGGAGGCTGGGATGTGCCATGCACCGAGGCTGGGAGGCTGGGATGTGCCATGCACCGAGGCTGGGAGGCTGGGATGTGCCATGCACCGAGGCTGGGAGGCTGGGATGTGCCATGCACCGAGGCTGGGAGGCTGGGATGTGCCATGCACCGAGGCTGGGAGGCTGGGATGTGCCATGCACCGAGGCTGGGAGGCTGGGATGTGCCATGCACCGAGGCTGGGAGGCTGGGATGTGCCATGCACCGAGGCTGGGAGGCTGGGATGTGCCATGCACCGAGGCTGGGAGGCTGGGATGTGCCATGCACCGAGGCTGGGAGGCTGGGATGTGCCATGCACCGAGGCTGGGAGGCTGGGATGTGCCATGCACCGAGGCTGGGAGGCTGGGATGTGCCATGCACCGAGGCTGGGAGGCTGGGATGTGCCATGCACCGAGGCTGGGAGGCTGGGATGTGCCATGCACCGAGGCTGGGAGGCTGGGATGTGCCATGCACCGAGGCTGGGAGGCTGGGATGTGCCATGCACCGAGGCTGGGAGGCTGGGATGTGCCATGCACCGAGGCTGGGAGGCTGGGATGTGCCATGCACCGAGGCTGGGAGGCTGGGATGTGCCATGCACCGAGGCTGGGAGGCTGGGATGTGCCATGCACCGAGGCTGGGAGGCTGGGATGTGCCATGCACCGAGGCTGGGAGGCTGGGATGTGCCATGCACCGAGGCTGGGAGGCTGGGATGTGCCATGCACCGAGGCTGGGAGGCTGGGATGTGCCATGCACCGAGGCTGGGAGGCTGGGATGTGCCATGCACCGAGGCTGGGAGGCTGGGATGTGCCATGCACCGAGGCTGGGAGGCTGGGATGTGCCATGCACCGAGGCTGGGAGGCTGGGATGTGCCATGCACCGAGGCTGGGAGGCTGGGATGTGCCATGCACCGAGGCTGGGAGGCTGGGATGTGCCATGCACCGAGGCTGGGAGGCTGGGATGTGCCATGCACCGAGGCTGGGAGGCTGGGATGTGCCATGCACCGAGGCTGGGAGGCTGGGATGTGCCATGCACCGAGGCTGGGAGGCTGGGATGTGCCATGCACCGAGGCTGGGAGGCTGGGATGTGCCATGCACCGAGGCTGGGAGGCTGGGATGTGCCAT